TTGGAACGCAACCACGGACAACGTCAGCGAAATAGTGCCCCCTGCAGACCAGCCATGCCTCGACACATGGGGTCTAGCCGGCCAATCACAAAGCTTTGATGCGTTCAAGTGCATTATTCTGGCACGGGAAGATTATGTTATAGGACATTAACGATAAAACAGAATATTGTTGTTCTATTTTTAGACACATCTCGCGATCGACTGGGAATCTCCCCGCGATCGACCGGTCGACTGGTTGGGCACCCCTGCTCTAAACGCTGGAGTTTCACCGCGGTTGTCAGCTGTGTTTACTCGCATCATTCAAATAAGACGCGCTGGCTAGGGGGCTACAACTATAACAAAATGAACATATTTTACCATGATTTAATTGTAATACACGTTTCAAAATGATGCCGAAGTAACAACATATTGATACCGGTTAGTAAAAACCATGAATTAATGCTTTGACGAGTCTACAGACAAGTCTGCTCCGGAGCAGGATTGGTTCCAGGATAAGAGATCAACTCAGTGAAAGCACCGCCTGCTGACCAATCAGAGCTCAGTGTGCAGAGTTTAAAGCTATCAAGTCATACAGGATAAAGGAAATACAGAAAAACTGCCGTTGCAGGAAAGACGGCCGGCAAAAATCAACTGACTGTGAACGTGAAAATTAATAGAATATCACCTCGCATCTTCAGAGCAATCTGACTATTATAACATTAGCGTTAAGAAAGCTACAATAAATATCTGTCACAACATAAGTAACCGGATCAAAATAACATTACGTAGAGTCCGCGGCACTGTGAGTGCAGACTTCGATGTGTCCCATTATCATTCATATCACATCATATCACATCATAATGTATCATATATTTCCTTGTCTGAGTCAGCTTCTTGAGCCGTATCTGGCCGTGTAACACTTACATTGTCACACACTGTATGCAGAAGTATTATTTTAAGCAACACATTAAGTTCACGAAACACTCGAGTCCAATGCACTGGCGAGCCATCAGGGCCCTCTAGGCCCTCTCTGATGGCATAAGATATTCTACAACATTTTTTTTTTTTCGACCGGTCGATCGCGATCGACTGGTTGGTGACCACTGATATACAGAATATGTTTTTGTGGATCCAGGCTAGAAACATGTTCATTTTCTGATGTTAAGTTGGACATAACATAGGGTCTACATAGGGTCTGCTCCCATCCGCCTACAGTTTGCAGCATTGGGCTTCACGGCACTGCCCCGGAGTTCGCCGCTTGGCTCTGATAGGCCAGAAGTCGGTTCGATTGCATTCGGGCTCGATTGCTTATCCTGTCTGGGTAGCCTGGATGACGCTCCCTCGACATTTTTGACATCAAATTTGAAGCACCGAATTTGACCATTCGAAACTTTCATTTTTAGATCTGAATTTGTGAACACTGAAACAAATACATTGAAATTCAGCTTTTGAAATTGCGTATCAAGATATTTCAGATTTTTATTTCACATAAATTCAGATACATGATTTTCAAAGTATTTATTTTCAATACTGAAAATTCGGTGTCTGATCAAATTCAAATCATTCTGTCTCTTGTTTGCTTCCATATACTGCTTCTGCAACAACTTTCTACTCTCGCCATGAACTGTTGCTCCACTCCAGCCTTGACGTATGAGGTTCTCGGTTGTTGTGACCGTCCCGGTAGTGTGTTGGTTCACCAGTTTGAGGAACTGTGGCATCGCTGCAGTGGAAACACGGAAAACTGTTTCGCAGTGGGGGACCGGCATGGAATGGGCCCTGGAACCGCCTCAGTGGAAAAGGGGTACAAGAGGACTAAAAAAACATGCTAACTTTTGGCTTTAAAAAGGGGAGCTTTTATTCTGAAAGAAATGTGTATATCGAGTTTAATGTATTATTTAACTGTTGAGGTTAACTGTACAGAGCAATAAAATATGTATTTTATCATTTTTAAATCCTTTTATTAGAAAAATATCCTTTGTGGCAGTGTGACAGCACTTTAAGAATGTGATGTTTTAAAGAGCCACCCAACCCCCATCCATCCATCTTCTCCCGCTTATCTGTGGTCGGGTCGCGGGGGTAGCAGTTCCAGCAGTTCCAGCAGAGAGCCCCAAACGTTCTTTTCCCTGGCGACATCAACCAGCTCTGACTGGGGGATCCCAAGGCGCTCCCAGGCCAGCGAAGAGATATAATCCCTCCACCTGGTCCTAGGTCTACCCCTTGGTCTCTTCCCAGCTGGACGTGCCTGGAACATCTCCCTAGGAAGGCGCCCAGGTGGCATCCTAACTAGGTGCCCGAACCACCTCAACTGGCTCCTTTCGACGCGAAGGAGGAGCGGCTCAACTCCGAGTCCCTCCCGGATGACCGAACTTCTCACCTTATCCCTAAGGGAGACACCAGCCACCCTGTGGAGAAAACCCATCTCGGCCGCTTGTATCCGCAATCTCGTTCTTTCGGTCATGACCCATCCTTCATGACCATAGGTGAGGGTAGGAACGAAAATGGCCCGGTAGACAGAGAGCTTTGCCTTCTGGCTCAGCTCCCTTTTCGTCACAACGGTGCGGTAAAGCGACTGCAGTACCGCTCCCGCTGCTCCGATTCTCCGGCCCATCTCACGCTCCATTGTTCCCTCACTCGAGAACAAGACCCCGAGATACTTGAACTCCTTCACTTGGGGTAAGGACTCATTCCCTACTTGGAGTGGACAGTCCATCGGTTTCCTGCTGAGAACCATGGCCTCAGATTTGGAGGTGCTGATCCTCATCCCAGCCGCGTCACACTCGGTTGCGAACCGATCCAGTGAGTGCTGAAGGTTGCAGACCGATGAAGCCATCAGAACCACATCATCTGCAAAAAGCAGTGGTGCAATCCTTAGTCCACCGAACTGCAGACCCCCTCCCCCATGACTACGCCTCGAAATCCGATCCATGTATATTACAAACAGGATTGGTGACAAAGCGCAGCCCTGGCGGAGGCCAACCCTCACCGGAAATGGGTCCGACTTACTGCCGAGGACCCGGACACAGCTCTCGCTTTGGGAGTACAGAGATTGGATGGCCCTGAGTAGAGACCCCCTCACCCTATACTCCCGCAGCACCTCCCACAGTAACTCCCTGGGAACTCGGTCATACACCTTCTCCAAGTCTACAAAACACATGTAGACCGGATAAGCGTACTCCCAGGCCCCCTCCAGGATCCTTGCGAGAGTAAAAAGCTGATCCGTCGATTCCTGGTCGTGGAACCCAACCCCCAATATAACCTAATTATTGGTTTGGATTTCTCACATTTTCTTTCAAATTAAAATGACCTATTAAAGAGGCACTATTCTGCTTTTGGGGGTTTTCCCTTCCCTGTAGTGTGTTTATTTAAGTTATTGTGCATGTAAATAGTCTGCAAAGGTTAAAATTGTTGAGTTCCCTCCGGTTAATTTGAAACTTTTACCATGTATTGTTTTTCATGTATTTATTTATAGTTTTTTTTGGATCATGTCCACTGATTAGTTATGGTTAGCTCAAAAAGTTACTAGACCTAGATCCCCCTTTTTTGCTCTTGTTGGTCTTTCTCAATAAATTGACATAGTTATTTTATGCAGTGTCTTTGGTGTGCATACAGTTTACAAAATATAAACAAGATTTGTTTTAATGTGGTAAAACTAAATTAGAAACTCACAATAAATGATCTCACTGAACCTAATAGTTTGAATTAAAACGTAATATTATGGCTTTCAACTAACGTCATATTTTTATGTGAAATTGATTGACATAACATGTTTAATTAAAGTCAACGGTTCAGTTTTTTCAGTGTGGGGCAGTTGGATGAGGTATAGGAGGGGGCCTGGTTTTGGAGGGGTATGTGAGTGAGGAGGAGGACATGAAAATTAATGTATTGAGGGAAATTATTTAGGAGTTTATTTATGGTATACCATAGTCCAGTGGTTCTCAACTGGTCAGGCCTCGGGACCCACTTTTTCCTTTGTCAATAAATTGCGATCCGAAAATTGAACCACTCAAATCTATTCATCAAAAAAATTGTCCTGTAATATGAATTACAGTGCATATATCCCTTATATCCCTTCACAGAACTAAAAGTATGCTTTTAATAAAGGTTTAATGAGATGATGGAATCAAAGCTGAACTGTATAACATGAAAAGGCACACATGCTGGAAACCCAACCCCAGAAGGGGGGTCTGTGGAGATTTTTTGAAATACTAACATATAAACTACGTATAATGGTACACTCTGAGAAGAAAATAAATAAATGTATTACTACCCGACATATTAATAATATTTTATGCCATTGTTTCTTTTTCCCTTTGTTCTGACAGCTGAACTTGCTGCTCCACACGGACAGAAGAGCAAAGAGGAGATAGTCTGTGTGAATTACTTTTTAATTGTGGATAAGGGTAGATAGCTCCCATTGTTCTGTGACCTGGCTGTCACTCATCAAACCGGGGGTTTGGTCTCCGTTTATGGTCTCCGGTACTTCCAGTCCAACGCCTACTGCATGCACAGCGTTAGAAAATCGTGCCTTCAAAATAAAAATGTGACTTTTTTCCAACAAATAAAAAATAGATATATTTGTTCAACTTTTTTTTTTCTTCACTCACACATCTGCGACCCACTCGAAATGGGTCCGCGACCCACCAGTTGAGAACCACTGCCATAGAGGATGTTGTTGCAGTAGTCTATTCATTATTAGATGAAAAGCATGGATCAGGGTTTCGGCAGCAGTGAAAGAATGATGGGCGACGACGTGTTATGATATGGAAAAAGGTATTTCTGGTGATATGGTTGAAATGGTTCTCAAATGAGTTTTTTTGATCTGTGATTATGTATTTGGCATGCTGCCCCTGAACACACCTCTTCACTTAGCCCCAGACTTTATAGGGACCATCACCTGGTTATGTTCTTATGATCACAGTAAATTGCTATTTTCTTTCACAGTCCCATCATTATTACAACCAAGAGGCTACATACTACATGATTGAAACAACAGAAACAATGTTAATATCTGTCAAAAATTCACTTTATTGCTTTCAACATTATGATGCCACAGTTAGTTGCTATCATCCCTGTGTGCTGTTGTTTTTCAACTCATGTCTGGTCAGCTGACTTCTCCACTTTGACCTTCTTGATGTAGCTGTCGTTGAGCTTCTTTAGGTGTTTGGTTCGGTTCTCCAGGCGGACCAGCCACTCCCCCCTCAGCCTGGGAACACACACACACACACACACACACACACACACACACACACACACACACACACACACACACACACACACACACACACACACACACACACACACACACACACATACACACACACACACACACACACACACACACACACACACACACACACACACACACACACACACACACACACACACACAAACATTTATTTAACTATTGTGCCTCAGTAGTGACATTTTTGGCAGTTTTTGATAATCATTTTTAAGTTTTTATCACACACGTTTTATTTTTCATATTTTGGAAATTAAACCTCAGCTCCAAGCTCCCACAATACAGACACTCAGACAAACCCACAAAAGACCATTCAAATATGCCAGGCTATTACAGCATAACATCCTTAAGTCTACTGTAAAAAGAGTGTAGTTCTTGCCCTCAAATCTAGCCATTTTCTATACAAATACATTCTATTTTCCTGGTTTCCAATAGGGACATGCTGCTATATTATTTGTGGGGAAAAAACACGTTTTTTTGTGGTATTTTGCAAACAATGACTTTGAATGAATGAATTTGGAAGTTATTGTCAGGACTGAAGTTTGTTAAAAATGTAACTGTCAAAAGATTATATTTTTCTATTGCAGTTTTGGGATTGGACATCTGTGAGTTTATTTTATCTGACACCGCACGCAAAATAAAAATGCATCAGAAGGTAATGTTTGCAAAATAATTTACATATGCAAGACAGACACAGAAAATAATAACCTTTTTGTTTGTTTGTTTGTTTACATAAAAAGCGTTGAAGCTAGTTAAAGGATTTTAATAAAATAATATGAATAACTTAATGGCGTGTTTTTTTAAATCTTCAATCACATCTCATTAGCAGGCAAGAATAAATGCAAATACTCTATTGCTAGCTAATTCAAGTGTGTGTGTCTGTGTGTTTGTCCCCTTTAGTCAAGGCCAGACTCAATAACAGCACTTAGTTATGTCCTGTTACACTTAATTGTCATGATATCCTGCACTTCACAGTGTGTAGCAGCACTGAGGTCAGATTTAGAGTGGAGGCAGATCTGGTATCTATCTGACAGCTGCAGTGTTATCACTGACACATCAGCGGTACATTTCACTCCTTTATTTCACCATCAATCAAATACACGCCACCTGTGTGTGTGTACGTGTCTGTGTGTGTGTGGACGTACATATGCGTGCGTATGTGGTTGTGTGTGTGTGTAAGATAACCCTCACTGTCAGCTGTCCTCACTGTCTCTTTGCCACCTTCCTGTCGAGTTTTCTGGATTATTCCATTTGTCCTTTCAGCTGCTGATAATCCACCTGACCCCAGCAGACCACAGACAGACACAAAGGCGGACAGACAGGGAGAGAGGGAGACAGACAGACGAAAACACGGGCACACAGACAGACAGGTAGCTAGTTAGTCAGGTAAGCAGGCAGAGAAAGACAGACAATAGCAGGACAAAAGGCAGGGGGACAAACACACAGACAGACAGATATGGAGGGGGATTCACAAAGGGGGACATTTACGATGCTATGGCAACAAGCTGGGAATCTCCTTTTTTGGGATAATAACAATGTTCTTAGTGAGGAAGGGGAGCTGAAACGGAGAGAATACATATTTTAAAGAGGACATCATGATAATTTTCAGGTTCATATTTGTATGTTGTCCTCATATTTGAAGAAACCAGAAAAATGGTGTATTGATTTTCAATATTTCAAAGCACATTCAACTAAGCTGCATTTAGAGTAGAGGAATTACAAATATCTTTAGTCTGTCTTTAACTATCCTAAATGAAATTGTTAAATTAAGCTATAATGTACTGGTGTGTGGGTGTGTGTGCTTGTGTGCATGTGTGTAAAGTTAGTATAAAGGTGTGATGTATGCACATTAAATATAAAACTGTGTGAAAATAGATATCCCCACTTGGCAGATAATGAGAAATGTATTTTAATTCACAATCTTCTTGGAATTGAATGTGTGAAAGGGCAGGATGGATATATACGATTAAGGTCATTCAAGGACTGTTTATTGATCGTCAATTTAAAAACAGTGATGCAAGAAGGTGCTGTTTACACGAGAACGCAAACGGTTGTATCCGCTACTTTTCTCTTTTGTATAGCCCGTTCGTACACACGAGGCCGTAACGGAGACGCGGAAACGGACCCCGCAAACGATAACGGGTCCCAATGTGGATAGATCTGCAAACGGAACGCTCTGGGGGGGCAAATGGCTCCGTGTGTACACCCTATACGATCATTTCCTGATAACGATGAAGCCATAGCCCCACCTCTGCTGCTCACTGCTGTAGCATGGTCAGTAGCTACTGCTACTGACCATGCTACAGATGTTAGTGCAAAATCTACAACTCCTCTACCACAACCAGGGGCGCCACCAGGGATTTTGGGCCCCATGAAAATATATCACATTGGGCCCCACCACCAGGCCCAGGCCACACCAACCAAGCACAATTGCTGTAACCACACCTCCAGAACCCAACCGACTCATTTATGCTTTAAATAACTCTACCTGTACAGGCTTGCATCTATCTTGTAGTCCAATACTAACTGCACAATATTTACTGACACTGAGCGGTGAACATATAACACTGTGCAGACTGCAAATTCTACTGCAGTAGAATTCACTATTTTATATAACACTAACATTCCTGACAATAGATCTCAATAGTCATCTTTTATGGTGTACATGCCTTTTTAATAACATTTTTGAATGGAACATTCAAAAATCAAAATAAATATAACTTAAATATACATGACCTCTTAAATTAAAATAAAGTGAACATTAAGACCAACATTATCATTTATAAAATGCTATAACAAAAAAAATAACATAAGCAGCAGATTTTTTAATTAAATATACATACCAACTACAAAATAAGCGGGTATTATAGTGTAAACGGACAACAAAACGGAAATGGAAATGAAAAGGCCTGATGGTGGTGCTAAATCAGAGCCTATTACCAGTTCTCAGTCTTTTTCTCATCATGCATCTTGTGTGTAGTGATCTAATATCGTTACCATAGCCTTGCCCTTTAACAGTTATTACGAGCCCTTGCTCAGCCTTACTCACTGAGAGCCCAGTGTCTAGCCTTCTTACAGGCAAAGTCACTGATCAAGTCCTTGAAGTCCAGCTTTCTAGCCAACTGGCTTTCAATGGACAGCATGGCAAGACTGCAAAGCCTTATGGGGGGTGTTACGGCTGCTGCCTTCCGGGTCGTCTTTAACTCTGTTGTGTGAATGTGTGTATGCAAATGAGCTGTAAGGTTGCCCCGATGTCATTGGCTGTCCCGTCCTCGTATCATCCGAAGAGGGGATTGGATCAACGTCCTCCATTCGGGAGGCTCTGTGTTGTGAGACAGACGCCTCTAGCCTCTTATTGTGCTTATTCGTTGTGCTTGATAATTCAGTGAATCCTCTGTGTTCAGTTCTACTGCTTAGCAGCGTGTTGAAGTAGTGTTCTGTGTTTAGCGTAGTAGGTGTGTGTAAAGAAGACCCAGGTTAGCTTAGCGCCTGTTGATCAGCAGCAGCAGCTGTGTTTTGTTACAGCTTTTTCAGTTTCATGTACCACGTTTCAGTGAGGTTTTTGTTTCTCTTTTGTACTAATTATTACTGTGTATAATCTGTCAAACTCTCGTTTGGAGTCTCTTTATTTTGGTTGTTGTCAACCGGTAATTGGCCCTTGGTTTGTGCCACGACTATAGTTATAATAAAACTACTTGTAACTTTTACCAATTCCATTCTGGTTTGTGTTGTTTCCCTTTGGTTCCCCTAGCCCAGTAGGGAACGTAATAGGGGGACAGGGCTGCTGAGCCTAAATATGGATCTGTTGGTCCTGGCACCAGGGGAGGGACAACTGATTTAGTATGAATAGCTGCTAAAAATGTACCTGCATTTATTAAATGTCAGCTAAAAGAGAAGTGAAATGAAAAACCTCTGAATTTTCTGTGAAGATATTAACAGTACTTAAGGTGGGGTAGGTAATTTTGGAGAAACCAGCTCGAGTGCGCTAGAATTTGAAAATACACAACCGGAAAAAATCTGCCACTTCCTTACAGAGACCCTCCTCCAACACACACGAACGCACACATGACCAATGAGGGCACGAGATAAGTTTGTGCAGAGATGGAAGGCTGACAGGCAGGTAGGCCATCCAGTTATTTTAGCCGGGCCGGCTCAGATGATTGGTCGTGCTTTTTACAGCGCCACAGCTTCCACAGATGAATTTTTTTAATGGATTTTTTGTCAAAGCACTTCAGATATTCATTGCTATCGGGATGTTAAGAGCATTCCATGCAATATAACAAAAAGTGTATCTCGAGCCGGTTTCTCAAACGTACCTACCCCACCTTTAATGTCAGCAAAACATTACAATTATTATTTACAATGGACTACGCTTAGCTAACAGACTAATTTCCACCACTCATGGACCACACCCACCTTTTCTTTTGAAAAACTGGGTGACATAAGCCGCTTTCACACCGCAGGACTTGCGGTACTTTAGTGCCGGCACTAAACTTTAGTGCCGGCACTAAAGTACCACGGCACTGAATCCGCCAGGGGGCTAGTGCCATAGCCGCATTCACGCCGCAGGACTTTTCCCTGAGGCAAGATTACGCTGACGTCACTTCGTCTTCTTCTTCTCTGGGTTTACTGGCAGGCCGCAAAACCACTTCACGGCGAGTACAACAAAAAACGAGAGAAGAAGAACTACACGGGGGAAGGGGTATAAAGCCCACCCGCTGTATGAGGCGTTTGTTTACTTTCCGACCTCAGACATGATGGAGTTCATAAGGGTAATAAGGGTAATTTACAAATAAAATACCCCATTATAACAATGGACTTTATCTTTATGTATTTATTATATATTACCCCCTTAGGCTGATTTTGGAAAAGGACATTAACCCTTGTTTGGTGTTTTTCCCTTATTTATCTAAAACCAATGACATGATAAATTACTTGTGTTTATGTGTGTAAGACTTGTGTTT